TAGACTATGTACTTTTTATCGGATTTAATTTCGGATCCCATGTTTTCGTTCTGAAAATAATTAGGAACTGTATGAGCCTAAATTGACGCAAAGTTTTCGGTCGAAAAATTTGATTAAAACATAAATATGTAACATTGCAGCATCAAATCACTAGTAATACATACGTTCTTACAGTTACAGATGTTTTTATCGCTAAAAAACTGATTTTTATATGCAAACTAATAAAAATTGTACAACTCGTTTCTTAGCTCCTTTGCTATCGAAGATGAAAATTGACGCACTTGACAGACGATGTTTTTCTTTTGCTTTTATTTTGACGTTACTAAAGATCAACAGACAATTTGGTTTTACGAGTGTGAAGAATAAACGTAAACAAAAATACTTCGATTCATTTGAAGGTATAATTCTGCGTGAAATTCGAATAATCATGGATTTAATTCAAAAGTGCGTCAAATATGGTGCCTCCACGGTACTCTCCTTCTTCAATACGCTTGGCGGCTCATTCGCATGGGTAAACAGCTTCTCCTTTTGATTCGCCTTTTCTACCCTAGTTGGTGGTTTTGGGTAGAGTCCACTCCGATGCTCAGCTCGGAAGCTAGATTCACCGTTCCCGACAAGAAGTTGTTGAACGTTGCCAGCTTGTCAACGAACGCCTGCTTGAAGTTCCCCAACTGCATCTTCAGCAAGGTGGGTAATTTATCAACTCCTGTAGCTGCATCGGATTCGATAAATGTGCTTGCTGATCTGTCAAAATAATGTGATCGATGAGATTCTGTATCACCGAGCCGTAAGTAACGATGGTGCTCAAGTTATCCGACTTCGGTAGCGGAGCTTTCATCACCGAGCAGAATAGAACTTATCAGTATTTCTGGGCTTTCGCAAGCATGGGAAAAATCGTTCCATTTTGCATTCTCAACTCACTCACACGCAGTGTTGGAAAAGTTCGCGATATTTCACGAAGTTCACCAAGGGAAAAGTTCGTGAGTCATAGTGAGTTTTCGCGAACTTTTCCATCACTGCTCACACGTATACAACATCAGAAACGAACAGCAGCTTGTGCGAGCCGCACTGATTTCGTTCGTATTCGCATTGCTTCTATTTTCTTCGATGAATGCAGAATTGAGCAAAACAGACAGCTGAGCGTAACATGAATGATTCTGAGTGTAGTGGTGTGGATGATTCCTCTCTTATTATTTTTTCCATGCTGAGCCTTTTACGATTGCATTCTGCTCAGTGAGCTGAATGAGAATTTTGCAGAAAGAATCACTTTTTATTTCTAGCTTTAAACATACATTGACACATTTAAATCGCTATTAATATCGAGAAAACTGTTATACTGTAACACATAAACATAAGCGTCACGCAAATAGCTTAAAACTGCTGTGGCCAATTCAACTGATTTAAATCAGTGAGCCAAAAACTATCTGACTCGGCTATTTAAATCGTTAGCATTCGGATTTTACGCATTCAATCTGGTTCTCCCTCGCTAGAGAAAATTGTTCGGCTGCCTTTCAGTTTATCCTTATTTCCTTCTACTGCTGTCAGTTCTGAGTCGAGCTGCAGAGTCACTTGGTAGGAAGAATTTACACTCGTTCGGCAATCTGTTTGTAGGCGAGGATGGCTATTTTGATTCTGTGGTGCTCGCGCGAGTGAATGAATTTTCCCATGCTTGGGCTTTCGTAGAGCTTATGCAGCGTTTCCATCACGTACGCAACAGATGCGGGTAGGAGTATACGACTTCTAACTGCCTCCCATGCTGAACTTCCCAAACTACGCTGCAGTCTGGCTAGATTCTCGGTATCCGTGTATCCGCAGACCGCCGTCGTGTTCTTGAACGAACTATAGAAGATAGGCCACTTCTCGGGATCTCCTTCGAATTTAGGTAGCTCTCGTGGCGTTACCTGCCGAGCTGCCAATTGGGCATTAGTTGGTGCTGTCAAATTGACTGAAGGATTGATCCTAGTCCCGTCGATTCCCAGCGATGTTGGTACTACTGACGGTGCTACATCCGGCATCATTACTAAAATCGCAATACTTGCTGCTGGATAAAGAAACGATACTGCATTCCCGGGTAAAACACTAGGATTGCTTAGAATACGAACTAGTAGTAGTTGAAGTAGGAAGTAACGGTGGATATCCGGGTTAAAACTGGAACAAACCAGCCGGGGAGGGAACTGGTGAATCCCCAGCAACTGCGGGTGCTGCATTAGACGAAATAGAAATCGGCCAATACGGCAAAGAATTAGTAGTGGTTTGAGCCAAATACTGTTGTGGATTTGAATAGATGCCACTCAACCGTACGGAATTGACGGAATCAAGCCAGCTGCACTTATAGGAGGATTTTGGATTCCCATCAAAAGCACTCCAATAATCGTTGGTACAGTTAAAACTATCGACAAAGTAACCGGGTGATGTTACTACAGTCGTGACAAAGCTTCCACTAGCTGTTGCCACTACTGTCAGTGGAATCGTTGAAACTGTAGGTAGATAGAATGATGTGCTTCTTGGTAACGTTGGTACTGCCAAGGACTCGTAGGATTTCGCCAGAGCTGTGACGTTGCCACCGGGAACTGGAATAGTCGGATCCGGGTACAGCATACCCTGATTCAATGGAACCAGATTGGTATAAGTTTCGAACATCGAAGAAACTGTAGTTGTTTGTAACAAAAGTACTCCTGAATTCGTCTGGCTAACAGCTGGGACTGGTAGGGTAGCGTTCTGTCCGGACGTTTCGACTGTCCAACTCCGTCCACTTGGGCTTCCTTATTAAGCTATTTCTCCATCCGTTCACGCCTACTCTTCACGCTGACCCCGCTTTTCCTACTCGATGAATCCTTTGCATCCCCCATCTGCATCAACAACTCGTACCTCTGCCTCAGGTACCTATTAATGTTTCTCGTCTAGTTCCTTCAACTTGGCTTCTTACGTTCGCTTCTTTTTTAGTTCCCGTTGCTCCTTGAGAAGTTGTAGGCTGAGCTGCAATTTCTGGTACAATTTGAAATTACATTATCAAATTTTCCTCGTACTATTATGACTGTCATCAGCAAAGCCAATTATCTCGAAGCCCTTTGCTTCTAAGTTTTTGAGAAGTTCGTCAACTATTAAAGACCATAAAAGAGGTGAAAGAACACCTCCTTGAGGACACCCTTTACAGCTCTAACTGTTATGGATGAGCTTCCCAGATTTGCTGAGATTTCTCTTTTAGAAAGCATCTGATTAATCCACCTAACGGTGCTTTTGTCGAATCCACGCTTCAACATAGCTATAATTGGTTCGAACTAGTGGAAGTCTTAGCATTGCTTCGCAGTCGATTCTTCCTTGCAGAGTATCAGCGACGGTCAACGGTCTGAAAACATCTATTCGGATACATAAAGGCTCGACATTGATCAATTATTTAATTAATTTTAACACATCGAATTCAACTCGTTGAAAATGCAGCCTCAACCTAGTCTTGCCAACCAATTAAATAACCAAACCAATCGCAGGATTTAACGAAATCTTCTATGTCCAAGGTTAGTCATGGCTAATACACTGACCTCCGGGCCAAAGTTTTCATCTTCACCATTCCCTGATGGTTTGTGTGCAATAAATTTAAAACACCTTCTCACAAATAATAAGGAATTACAGCCTTATCTTTTATCATCAATACATAATCAACCAATTCTAATTTTGACTTAGTACTTTGAGCGCGATGCAAAGAAGATCGTGAGAACAAAGCGCGTTGTTCTGAATACAATCTGTGGAATAAAAGAAATGAAAAGCAAAATAGTGCTACAACCACGCTATGGTTATCAGATAAATCTAACTATTTCTCAATATTTTATATATATGGCGAATTTCGCCTTTTAAATTGCTCAACAGGCTTTCTAATTGCTTTTTTTTATCAAAACAATTATCAAGTAAAAACCCGTCTACCGATTTACAAGTCGCTTGCTAGGCTCAAGGAAAATCTACAAGTACTTACGCTGGCTCACACTGGAAATACCTTCCGTTTGAGCTACCTGTACTTTTCACTATCACTTTTTACCAATTTTCCGTCGTCGCCACTGTTATCTACAATAACTGACCACTACTATGTGTTTAGTTTAGTTTGTTAGGATTTACTTGTGTTAATCAATCTTTCTTTTTAAATGAAATAAAAGCTTAACGATGTAGATTGGATTCGACTCCGTCTCTCCCAACGGCTCATGCTAGACTAGCCTAGCTCTTTATTCTGGACACTCATCTCGAGTCTCTTTTCGTATCTTGATCGATTACACTCTTAACACTAATTACTCTGAACAGGGTAGATACTACAACCACTACACCCCCATTTCGGTGTACCTAGTGGTGCCAAAAAGTGATTCATCGACAGCTCATCATCATTTGTCCAAAATCAAATGTATACCCTATGACTACACCCTAAATAAGTTTTGTGCACTGTTTATACTGCCAGTGGATGCATAAATGTCCCATGATCCGATTTTAAATATGATATAGAGGAAAACCATTTTGTAGAATGTTGAGTGCTAACAATCTTTTTTGAAATTAGAGCTTGGAACCAGTGCTGAAATATGTGTGATAGTAATTTAAAGACTTCACGTGATATTGACAAACATATTTTTGACATCCACACTGGAAGAATTGATTCTCAAAAAAAAGCTTCTTCAAAATCTCATTCATTTTTTCGTCAATGACAAAGATTCTCCTGGTAAAAAAAAGTTTAATTCCGTGTATTCTGCATCACAGTATTGTGATCCAGACAGTTAATGACATAGGTATATGCTTGTTTACTTTAACGGCTTCATGTTCGTCAAGGCCAGGACACTCACAATTGACATGGTTTCCCTTGAAAATGACTTCTAGCTCGAATGAGCAAACAAAGCTGTTTTGTCGCCGTGTATGGTCAATATTTTGCAGCACTGCTTGAAACAATCGAAAAACATTGCAAAACGACAACAACTTTTGTCTTCCTTTTATTATTTTATCCTACTAACAATAGGTATTTATTTACTTTACAGGTCAACATGGTTGGGGCCAAGACAAAGCTTCCAACGCACGTCGGTGTCCTATGTGTTTGGAACTAGGTCCAGTGGTTACACTGTGTATGGGAGTGGAGAATGCATTTTATGTGGATTCTGGACCGCCAACCTATTGCTTTAATCCATGCGGTCACATGGCAACAGAGAAAACTGTCAAGTGAGGCCCTCATGCGTTGTTTTCATAATAAGATTCAGCCCTAACTAAGATTGTGTCTTTTTTCAGATATTGGGCGAATGTGGACATACCTCACGGCACAAACGGTTTCCAAGCAGTATGTCCATTTTGCGCTACGCCTCTGCAAGGATCTCCGGGCTACATAAAACTTATTTTCCAAGATAATCTGGATTAACTTGCGTTCACGATATCCCTGCAACAAGTAATCCCTTTTCCCCCTTTCGCGTCAGATTAAATTCCCTTTCCCAGTCCAACTCCCAATATTAAGTCGAATGATAAGCAAAATGATCAACTGATTCGCGTATAGTTTATAGTAATGTAATTGTTAGTATATTTTTAATCGAATTATTTTTAAATTAATTCTTACAAAAATGCAAATCAAGAAAAAAAAATGTATAATTTTATAGCATTGTCTCCATTGGAACATTGTAACAGCACGATAAACATTGAAATTGTGCGAGTGCGCTAAAGAAAACTGAAGAAAAATAACGCTTGCGAAAAGCTACCTACAATGGATGCATGAGTAAAGAATGCGTTTTTGCTATCACCATCGATCAGAAGGTAATTTGTTATCAGAATTTTAGAATTTGAGGAGGAACGGAGATTTGAGTTGAGATCCTGTAGCTGAGTTCGTTGTTCACAATTGTTCTAGAAGCTAAACACACAAAGATAAAGCCGCTGCAACTGAAATCAGGAGTAAAGAATGACAGTTTCTCCTTTCGCTTTAAAATAAAACAAAATAATCAGAGGTTTTTGTATTCCAAATCACCAGTATAGCAGCAAAGCCTCTAGCAAGCAACAAACGTTGATCGTTCGTTGGTGAGAGAGTCGATTGATTGTGGATCACTTTTATTGTGTGATCACCGCTTTGTTTTATAGTGATGAAGAAAGCATGCATTTTTTAGTTACGTTGAATGACTTTTTTTTTTAATTAGTATCCAAATGTTTGGCCAAGTACTGTTTAGGTAAAGATTTTTTTCGATTTCATGTATTTCCAAATCAAGGAACGATTTTTGAATAGAGTGTAGGAAAGAAGTCTATGTTTAAAAGCGCATCTTATTTAAATTAATATTGTGTATAAAGTATATTAAGTATATAAAGTCTTAGCAAAAAGCGTGAGTGTGATGTAAGGAAATAACTTGTTTTATTTGATCCAGCTATGTACTAACTATCCGAACCCCATAATATATAATTTAGACTACCGAGCCCTTTACATCACAATAAACCATTATCAACCACGATCGTTCAACTCGGTGAAATGAAGTCAGGCAGGACCGACATATGTTTCCCAATCCGCATCAAACATTCGTCATATTGTACCGAGAAACACAATTTTTCGCGCTGTTTCGATCAAGTTCTATCAATAGCAATGATCTACGTTAACTTTAAAAAAAAATTATAATAGGAACGAACCTGAGATTTTCTTCACCATTAATCGGACCGCCGCGAATATGCGTCACTCTTCCGCATCATAACCATCGACACAAAAAGGTACATTTTCTGACTGCACACTTGAATACACGCTGAGATTGGTACGTTGTTCCCAAACATGGTTCGGTGAAAATTTGGTTGCAATAACGTTGTATTCCGAAAAGATCTGCTCGGCACACGAAAGTTCAACATTGCAAGCAGTTCGGGGGCATCAGTTTCATCATTCAACAGCTTAGCAACAAGCAACGATTGCTGTACTTTCCGTTGTCGTTCCAGTGTGTCTAAGCCCAACAGTCGGCATCTATCAGGATACGGCGGCAAATTGTCAGGATCACTCCACGGCAAGTTTCTTAGTGCCAGACCGTTTCTGAACCCGTTCGATCCTTAGGAACCACGTGACATGGTGAGGATGCCAAACGCATTTTCCAAAATTGGACGGACAAGTGCACAGTACAATGACTTCCAACAATGTGGGTCCGAAAAATCCTTCGGAAATAAAGCCCAACTGTCTCATTGCTTTCGATATGATCGCTGAACGGTGCAAATTAAACGTCATTTTTGGGCCTAGTTGAACCCCCAGATCAGTCATACTGGTAACTCTGGTAAGAGTTTCGCCGTCGATATGATACTCAAACAACATTTGATGTTCAATGCGGTGAAACGTGATTGTCTGACACTTTTCCACGCTAATAATAGGCACCAATCGGCATGTGGGAGAAGGTCAATGGAACTATTACAAACATCGAGATACATGATGATTTCAACAATGATACAGATACGTGTACAACACAACGTTCTGAATTCAGCATAAGCTACTTTGAGACTAGGCCGGCATTCTTAGACAAACTGATGGAGATGGAGGAACCCTCAATGAATGCGTCAGGGACTTGATTCATCTCAACAACCTACGATCGAACGTGTGTGCGGCTCCCTCAAATCAAATTACAGACGTTCGACGGTAATATCGGTGAGTAGATGAGTTTCCGTATTATTTATTCATCGTTAATCCATTGGAAGAGTAAACATCAGAAGTTGAAAGTTTTCATTACCTCATGGGATGTCTGGCAGGAGAGGTCAAACCATTGATAGATTCGTTAACTATCACCAAGGTGTAGGTTCAGGCTTCCAAAAAGTACAGCCTCCTCGCGACAGTTGTTTTATACCTGAATTGACTGTTGCTTTGTGTGCATTACTACCGCTTGCTACCGTACGTTCAGATCTGAATTCGAAGTGTATTGGTAACAGCGCACACACGAACGAATGAAAGCTGTATTAGAACAGTCGCATCTATACCCGCTTTGCTAAAATCATCGTGCTTGGAACGTAGTGAACCGAATGGGCTGTATTTATGCATTTCTTTATGACCAGGTTCTCAATGTTTCTGTCGTCATAACAGCCTTCACAAACCGACGACATCCCTCAGCTTACCCAAGTGGCTGTCACGAAAAGGCTGTCACGAGACATTATATACAATTGATATACGGCAGTGGAGTATGGAAGAAACCCAGAAGAATGATCCCGAACAGATATGTCGGCCCGATGTCGGATCAATGTAAGGTCGACATTGGCCAAATGTCGGGTCGATGTCGGGTCAATTTTGCGTTTATGTCGGGTCAATGTCGGGCCAACATCGGGTTGGGGTTTGGTAGAAGTCAGGTTGGTGTCGGGTAGGCTTATATTTTTCGCCGGAGACCGTGCGTTTAAAAAAAAATATCGGATGAAAATTTTGCAATGGGCAGCACGAACGTGATAGCAACCTAACGAGCTCCGGCGCCACACTGGTAGTGTAGTAGCAGTCTTACGACACACAAACAAAATTTCAAAGACAGCAGCAACGAATCGGCAGTTTGACGGACTGCTTGTTGTATGTACGAGGAAAGTTACGAATGACCATCCGAGGCTGTCATAGCCGAACGAACAAAATACATGACTAAGAACAAGCTGTCGTGAACAGCACAAGACGGCAACGTTGCATGTCGTATAACAGCCTCACTGTGGGCTGTCGCTTTTAGCTCAATCTCAAGGCTGTCGTAGGGAAAAGAAAGCGACAGCCGTTGGAATACTGTCATGAGGCGGTACTTTTGGTATGCCTGTGTAGGATCTTGCTTCGCATAATCTACACCTCTATGTTTCTGTGTCCAGAACCTAACTGAATCAACCACGCACAATATTCTTGACGAGCAGGTGAGCGTGCTGACGCAACATCACTAACACTACTGAAACCTGTTACAGTTCCCCGGTAGCGGTAGAGCAGAACTACCTTAGGGCTGACCAATCACAAACACTTAGGGCAATGTGCACCAACAAATCAAACAAAACTTGAGAATATATTTTATCAATAAATGTGTATTCTCATTTCCCCCATACTCCCCCTTTCTAGCTACTGCTCCTCTTTCTCTATCTTCCTCCTGCTCTTATTCCTCTTTCTGGTCCTGACTAATGCTCGCTAAACAACATAGCTTTTCCTTTTTTTCTTCGACGTCACAAAGCTTTCGCCCACCACGTATATAGGAACGTACTCACAGCATTTTTCTCCTGCACGCCGTCGTTGCTGCCACTAAAGGCCCAAGCGCAATGACAGCGGAAGCGGAACGGCAGTGGAAGCAGAAAAGCCCGATCTGAGTAAGCTTACTTGTCGAATTGAAAACTAGTTAGAATCAAATCGACTTCGGTTAGACATCTTGATGTCATTTGTGACAACTGTCAAACTTTCCGTTTCCGTTCCGCTTCCGCCCACATTGCGTTTGGGCCTTAAGGGACTTGCTTGATGACCTCGCTGCATCTATGCGCCTCGCCGGCGTACCGGCTTCCATCCGTCAACAGAGCGGCGACTTGCCGAACGTTCGCGACAACTCGTTCCAGAAATCTTCGGGGCTAGCTGTCGACGCGCACCTCCGCCTACAACCGTCGCTCTATCGCCCTATCCGTGTGGTAGAATTGCTGTTCGTCACACAGTTTACTGTTGCGGGTCACGTCGTGCCCTGGAAGTCGATCCATTAGTTTTAGCGGAGAACATTCACATTCGGTGCAACTCACCCTCGTATGGGACGCTTCTTTCTCCTTCCACTTCGGTTGCCTTCCGTGCCCGAGCGATTCCCACGCTGTGACGATAACGTGCTACCATAGAGGTAACTCTAAGGCCAGAAGGTCCCGAAGAAACGTGCTCAACTTTTTGGCTCAGCTCTGGTACTCGCTTCGGTCCCAAGCTAATCGATGCACCCCTCGAAACATAGGAAAATCCACGAGCCCCTCATTTTATCCGTCAAACTTTCATAGCGAAACAAACATAGTGTAGTACTAGAATTTCGACTAGAATGGGGTACGTTAATCGATTTGCTTGGGACCAATAGGCTAGTCAAGTAGTGAGTCAATTTAAAATCGTTAGTTTCCACCGGTTGATGCTACCTTCGCTGGATCTCTCGACTGAATAAGTTTGGCCTATGGGCAGTCCGTGTGAGATTCCGTTGGTTCGCGAGCCGGATCCGAAACGTGCTACCTTTTTCCGCTGTTTCACTCGATCGAAACAGTACGTGCTGCGACCAAATCGTGTGGTTGGCGTCAGTCCAATGCTTTACCGGGTGCGGAATGCACTATTTTTTGGAAACTCGTGTTGGAACTTCCAGACACTACTCAATCGCTCGATGCCGCAATGGCTGTTATACGTGCAATGAACTTTGCTATGAGACAGCAGCGCCGGTGTCTTGTACGTGTGTGTGTTTTTCCATCGCGCCGCTGCGCTGCGATCGGGCAGCACTGCTTTTATCTCGCTGCTTTGCAAAGAGGCCTTTTCTCGATGTCTGATTATTTGGTTCGACAGTTGAGAGGTATAATTTGAATTGCCCGTTGGTGGAGCTTGTGCAGTTCCTCTTCTTGCTTCTATGCTAGTATATATATATTTCGGTCAACTTCAAATGACACAATACCAAGCAAACAAACTGCATCGTAACACAACTCTACCGTAGAATTTTTTTATGAATCGGTGATCAAACGATTCATAAAAAATTCAAAAACTCATCCCTCGGGATGTTGGCCAGAGACTAATCGGCCAACAAAACTCTTGAGCAGATCTCAAGTTAACAATCGACTAAATCGAAAACATAATTCGTACGCAAGCCTCGGCTGCTTGCCAGATTTTTCCCATAACTGCTTGAACTTAATGCCTTTAATCGCCAGCTGCTTC